CACTCTACAGGAGAAACGGAAGGCCCCGAACCTGAAGATTCGACACCGCTGTAGAAATGACGCGGCTGGGTTGGAACCTGGCGTCCTTGGCTCACTGTAGAAGTGAAATGAAACGTCTGGAGCCTGGAGCCTCTGGTCTACTGTACACGTGAAACGGAAGACTCTTTCCGTGTGCCAAAGCAACGAATCCTGAAAGCTTTCAGTGCAGAGGTCCACGAAGAGCACATCTGTTCGGCTATCTTTGTCAGAAAGCGACACCGGATGCTGCACGCTCTTTTGTCTCGCATCCACTGGCACGCTGCGAAGCTAAGACTTGGACTACTGTACAGGTGAAACGGAAGGCTTGGAGTCTGAGGTCTCTAACCCACGGCACGGAAGGCCCGGAACCTGGAGTATGTGGCCCGAAGCAGAAAGTGTGGAACCTGGAGGCTCTGCTCCATTGCAATGTTGAAGCGGAAGCTCCCCTGGGTCTACTCAGACAGCGTAACCTCGAAGTCCTCAGTACACGGGCCTACCATGTAGCGCGGGCTTGGAAATGGAGTCTGGAGCCTTGTTGGAACCCAAAGTAGATGTGAAACGATGGAGCTTGGAACCCACTGTAGAAGTGAAATGGTGGCCCGGGCTTGGAAATGGAGTCTGGAGCCTTGCTGGTGAAACGATGGAGCCTGGAACCCACTGTAGAGGTGAAACGGTGGCCCGGGCGTAGAGGTGAAACCGAAGCTTCCTGGAGTCCTCTTGTAAAGGTGAGACCGAAGCTTCCTGGAGCCCTGGTGTAGAGGTGAAACCGAAGCTTCCCTCGAGCCCTCTTGTAGAGGTGAAACCGAAGCTTTTCTGGAGCCCTATTGTAGAGGTGAAACCGAATCTTTTCTGGAGCCTTCTTGCAGAGGTGAAACCGAAGCCTCCTGGAGCCCTCTTGTAGAGGTGAAACCGAAGCCTTCTGGAGCCCTCTTGTAGAGGTGAAACCGAAGCCTCCTGGAGCCCTCTTGTAGAGGTGAAACCGAAGCCTTCTGGAGCCCTCTTGTAGAGGTGAAACCGAAGCCTCCTGGAGCCCTCTTGTAGAGGTGAAACGGAGCCTCCTGGAGCCCTCCTGTAGAGGTGAAACGGAAGCCCTCGTAGAGGTGAAGCCTCCTGGAGCCCTCTTGTAGAGGTGAAACGGAAGCCTCCTGGAGCCCTCTTGTAGAGGTGAAACGGAAGCCTCCTGGAGCCCTCTTGTAGAGGTGAAACGGAAGCCTCCTGGAGCCCTCTTGTAGAGGTGGAAGCCTCCTGGAGCCCTCTGTAGAGGTGAAACCGAAGCCTCCTGGAGCCCTCTTGTAGAGGTGAAACCGAAGCCTCCTGGAGCCCTCTTGTAGAGGTGAAACCGAAGCCTCCTGGAGCCCTCTTGTAGAGGTGAAACGAAGCCTCCTGGAGCCCTCTTGTAGAGGTGAAACGAAGCCTCCTGGAGCCCTCTTGTAGAGGTGAAACGGAAGCCTCCTGGAGCCCTCTTGTAGAGGTGAAACGGAAGCCTCCTGGAGCCCTCTTGTAGAGGTGAAACCGAAGCCTCCTGGAGCCCTCTTGTAGAGGTGAAACCGAAGCCTCCTGGAGCCCTCTTGTAGAGGTGAAACCGAAGCCTCCTGGAGCCCTCTTGTAGAGGTGAAACCGAAGCCTCCTGGAGCCCTCTTGTAGAGGTGAAACCGAAGCCTCCTGGAGCCCTCTTGTAGAGGTGAAACCGAAGCCTCCTGGAGCCCTCTTGTAGAGGTGAAACCGAAGCCTCCTGGAGCCCTCTTGTAGAGGTGAAACCGAAGCCTCCTGGAGCCCTCTTGTAGAGGTGAAACCGAAGCCTCCTGGAGCCCTCTTGTAGAGGTGAAACCGAAGCCTCCTGGAGCCCTCTTCTTGTGAAACCGAAGCCTCCTGGAGGTAGAAACCGAAGCCTCCTGGAGCCCTCTTGTAGAGGTGAAACCGAAGCCTCCTGGAGCCCTCTTGTAGAGGTGAAACCGAAGCCTCCTGGAGCCCTCTTGTAGAGGTGAAACCGAAGCCTCCTGGAGCCCTCTTGTAGAGGTGAAACCGAAGCCTCCTGGAGCCCTCTTGTAGAGGTGAAACCGAAGCCTCCTGGAGCCCTCTTGTAGAGGTGAAACCGAAGCCTCCTGGAGCCCTCTTGTAGAGGTGAAACCGAAGCCTCCTGGAGCCCTCTTGTAGAGGTGAAACCGAAGCCTCCTGGAGCCCTCTTGTGGAGAAGTGAAACCGAAGCCTCCTGGAGCCCTCTTGTAGAGGTGAAACCGAAGCCTCCTGGAGCCCTCTTGTAGAGGTGAACCCGAAGCTTCCCTGGATTCCTATTATATAGGTGAAACCGAAGCTTCCCTGTAGCCCTATTGTGGAGGTGAAACCGAAGCTTTCCTGAAGTCCTCTTGTAGAGGTGAAACCGAAGCCGGCCTTTAAGAAGATGAGCACCATATCCAGGAAATCTGCGTTCGCTTTCTTGGGGCAGGAGCCAAACTTCTCGATCATCCGTTCCGCGATGCGGTCGGCTGCATCTTTGGCCTAGTGGCAGATGTTGCCGCAGTCCGTCTTAGAAGTACGTGTGATAAGGCCTGGATTCGCAAGTGATGTTGAGCAAGGCGCGGGCGTTCTTCGCGTAATACTGGCCCAGCTTCTCCTAAGCTCGCTTTGACCTGACTGCATAGCCGTTATTTGTCTCGTGGTGCGAATTCGGCTTTACATCTGGCCTTCGCGATGGTCGTGCCCGGCTCGAGACCGAATACATGGTTGGGGATAGTTGCCGTGAGTTGTTTGCCTCGTGGGTCTTGCGGACGAAAGCCTGGCCAGGCCCAGTATCGGTTCTGGTGCTCTGGCTGGGCTGCGGGCCTTCTGACTTCACGCGGATTGCAGATCAGGACCTGGCAGCCCATGGAAGCGGTGGACGAGCGCACACTAGTGGCGGGCCTTCCAGCCGCATTCGAGTCGAGGATAAACGCCTGGCACTCCACGGAAGCTGAGGACAACAGAATCAATTGCTGCACGAGTCTTCCAGCTCCACTCGGGTCCAGGCAGGACGCAGCTGGACTGGTGGGGAGTTGTCTATGCTGGCCACGACGGGCTACTCAAGAGTGTGGCCTCGTGGCTGTCGTGGCAACCTAGAGACATGGTAACACCGAACACTTTACAGACTGAGGGCGAGTAAACTGGTCGGGCAGGCCATACCGTAGGCGGAAGGATCGGTGTCCGGTGTCGCATGCAGCCGAAATGGCTGCAGGGAGATTGGCGAATGAGTGTCGTGGCTAGCCGTTCCGTCGTCGCCCAGCTGTGTTGCTCGATGCATGTGTCAGTTTTTTTTGCTGCGCTCTGTTTCTGCATCGGGTGAGGCGGCAGTGCCCTGGACAACCGGCAACATGGTCTCAGACGCTCTCCAGAAGGATCTTGGCGATCTCACTGGCTGCCCAGAGGCGATTCCTATACCGCAGGGCTGCCACGGGGCTGCACTCGTTGGGATATTCTGGGCCGCCCGGTACGGTGCGATACACCAAGTCGATGTGCAGGCGCACGGCGCCGGGACCGCCTTCAGCCAGCAGAGCCGCCAATGTCAGGACATGGCGTGTCATGTCGTCCAGCGACGAGATGTTCCGCTTGGGCCAGAGCAGCTCGAAGAAGTTGTACTCGAAGGCTCCGCGCATATGTTCTGCTGGGACGTTATCGCTGATGATCCGGTACATGATAGCTTCCGTCGGCATCTGGGTTTCTATGGGATCCACATCCGGATCTTCGCAGAGGTCTGAGTAAGTTGCATTCTCCACATAGGCGTCGAACCAGGCCTGGAACATGTGCACGGACAGGAACTCTTGCAGATATCGGAAAGAGCGTACGGCCTGTCGGGTGCACGGGACGGGGCATCGCACGGATTCATGGTTGTTCGTGGAGGCAATGCTACGGCATCGCGCTCGATCGTGCCTGGCTTTCGTTGGGGTCCTCGTTCTCCTTGGAGCTGGCAAGAACGTCGCGCAACGACATGGCTGCTTTCGGCCTGTACTTGGGTCCGGTAACGGGAGATCTTCTAGACACTTCGACGTGTCCGGTTCGAGCCCCCAGCTGCCAGAAGAGTGTGCGTGCTACATGGCTGATACTGGTGTGGTGCGGCGGTCGCTCGGTTTTGCTCCTGCGAAGTCGGTGAAGCTGCTGTGCCCTATGGAATGCTGACGCCGCCAACTAGATGGTCTTTAGGATAATGTCTGCGATCTGACTGGCCGTCCAGAGACGCTCCCGGTACCGTAGTCGTCCTATAGCAGGGTCGGACCTCTCTGGATGGTCCGCACTACTGGCCCCGGTGCTGTACAACAGGTTGATGTACAGGCACGCTTTGCGTTGGCCTCCTTCTGCCATCACGGTTTTGAAAATTGTCACGAGTCGGGTCAGATCGGTGTGTGCCGCTAAGTCTCTTCTCGGCCACAGGAGTCGGTAGATGCAATAGTCGAAGCCTTCCGGTGTCTTGTCTTCTTCGGATATGCCGGGCAGCAGTTGACGCACAGTTTCCTCCGATGGGCACTGGTTTTGCTCCGGCGCGATCTCCGAGACGCCCGGAACGTCCGCATAGGTCCAGTTGCTCACATTGGCGCTGCACCATGCTCGGAAGAGATGTGCACTTAGGAATTCTCGTACCTTCTGGCAGGCATCCGTTGCCTGGCAGACAGGCGTGCTGTTGCACGTAGACATGGATAATGGGATGAATCGTGTCCGAGCCTCGGTGTCTTCGGTGCTCTGCTCCACATCTTTGTGATCTTTCCTGTACGACATGGCAGCTGCAGGCTTGCTGGACTATGCCAGGTCGCCGGTGGTGGTCGTCCTGGGTCCGGGCGGTTTACACTAGTCGAATCTCTGTTTGGCTCGGGCCGACGTCGAATCCGAACTTGGCTCTGGCGCTCCGTAGGCCTGTTCACTGCTTGAAGCATCGGGGTCTGTGCACTTTTTGCCTGCTTTCTCGTGGCAGCTGTCGCTGCTCTGGTCTGTTAGCCGAGCTATACGCTAGGCGCGGTTCACTACGCTTGCCACGATCCGATCCCGTCCCAGACGTGCTCCAGGCGTTTCGCGTACGAGTACACGGGGAGTGGGGCGTCCGTGTGAAAATGTTCTCCGCACATGGCGTGCTGCAGCGCGTAGAAGTTGAACTGCATGCACTCCTTGCCGCCGCGCTGGTACAGGGTGCTGCCCGCATCGCGCTGGACCGTGAAGGCCTCGGCCGTTTGCAAGGCCGCGGCTTGCCAGAGCTTCCGGAAGGACGGGTAGTGGAACCACGCCAAGTGCTCGAAGTTCCACCCCATGTCTTTCATCACCCATGCAAAGGTCAGCTCTCCGGGAACGATTCTCTCCGTGCCGCTCATGCTGCGAAGCCAGCGCCGGAGGCTTTTCTCGGATGGACAGGGGTGTTCTTGCACGAACCTGTGGAGAATCTTCTCCTCTCTGAGCACTTCACGCCGCACTAGCGGATTGCACTTGCACCAGGGATCGGCCACCGCCCAGGGACCCGTCGTGATGGGCTGTCGCGGAGACTGCGGCGGGATGGGGTTCCCGAAGTCCTCTTCGTCGCTGCTGCTTTGAAGTAGGTCCCACTTGGAGTAGTCGATGCCCGACATGGAAGGCGACGGGATCCGAGTGGAGCCTGCGCGTGCTTTCTTGATTGACGCTGATGCGGCTGCGACATGCACTGTACTCGAGAACAGACGCAGATGGATAGAGTCGACTTCGGACTTGCTCCTGCAGTCATCACCTGGAACGCATAGTCTGTCTTCCTTTTCGTCTGTCGCGTGGCATGCCGTTGTCGGGGTCGCTTCGGACTCGCTTCCCCTCCGGCAACTGTCTGTCTATGTGTAAAACCCGTCGTTGACGACGTCTTGCATTTGAAGGACGGTGTTCAGTCCTCTGTAAGTGAAAAAGACGACTACGTTCACTAGAGTAGGTCGAAATTGCGTTCGGAAGGCGGCAGGCCTGGCCGAGTAGAAGAAGTGGCTGTCCGATTCTTCCAGCAGGTCGCTCAAAGCCGCGCCCGCGTCCCTTGTCTCTATCGGCCACGCGTTCATCACCAGCACCGCTTCGGCGGGGGAGAACCCTCCGAGCCCGAAGTCGTCCAACCAACAGAGCAGATCCTCGACGGGACCCAAGGTCTCCAGCGGGTCCGAGGGGTTTGGCGGAGCCCAGCCCTTTGTGTACCTGATGCTCACAGGGAGATCGAAGCCGGGGAAACGCAGTCGCATGGTCCTCAAGGGTTCCAAGACCCTGCGTAGCCTGGCCACATCTGCTAGAACGGCTCGGGCCCACGCCAGTCTTCTCATGTTCGAGGACCTGCCGACCTGCAGCAGAAGGAGCTCCTCCGCTGGCGTCAGCATTCGCCGTAGCAGGACGCCGCACTCTGCTTCCAGAAAATACAGGAGAATGGCCATGGTGTGCGCCCCGGACTAAACGCTCCTGATGATCCTATGGCTGCAGCTGCTTCTGTATGAGACTCAGCTGCAGGCTGCGACCACGATGCTTGTTTCTGCCAGCGCGGACGGCGATGTTGAAGTCTGCTGGCTCTCCACTTTTCTCTCGTCCTATCTCACAGTCTACGAATCTGTACGGACAGCTGCCCTGTTACGGGTTCTGCCGTGGTCGGCTGGGATGTTATCAGGATGATGGGCGCTGCGTGTACTCGAATGTCGCACAGCGTCTGTTGCGCTGACGACGTCGCGACAGGGCCCGGTATCGTCGGATTTCCGAAGCCGGTCGGGGTGTGTGGGTCTGCTGGCTCCGCTTCTACTCGCCATTCGTAAATAAACTCATACCAGAGTCGACAAGGGAAACGATGCCGGAGACAGCGGCGCTGCATGCTGGTTTGCCAGTCTTGCAGTGCTTCGGGCCCCCAGCGACGAGACAGGGCGCTTTGCACGAATTCTGCTAGCTCGAGATTCAGTTGCGTCTCGCCTGGGTACGGTCTCTTGTGCATGATCGTGCTGGTCCTGCAATCCGGCTTTAAGGACTGCACTGAGCGGCTGACCGGTGTCGAAAGTTGTTTCTGCGGCATCCGTCGTGCCGTTGTATTCGGTGCCGTTGTGACGGCCTTCCAACGTCCGTGGTAGCGGCGACTCTGTATCTGGGCGTGTCGTTCTCGTGGAGAGTAGGTCGCTGCTGCCTTGCATTCAGCTACCGTGGCATTAATTACACGGCGTGAGATTATCTACTCGAAGCAGAGACTGGCTTCGGTCGGACGAGGTGGCGACGGTGTCCTCCTTGATTCTCGAAGTGGTCCTGCCTCGGCGGTGCGCCGGCCGCCGGGTCCTGCAGTGTCTGCAGGGCTTCCGTCTGTTGCTTGAGGTAAGCACATCCGTTCCGAGCATGCTGTGTCCCCTCCTCGTCGGCGTTGTCGTGGTCCTGACTGCAACGGCACTGTATATCGCACGAACGTGGCTGCGTGTTCGAGTCTGGGCTCCTGCACGTCCGCCCAGGCCTGTCTGCCCGAGAAAACCAGCATGGCTCGTTGGCAGCTGCTCGGGCCCTGGGTGGCAGAACCAGGCGACTCGTTGCGGCGATGCTATGTGATGCGGCACTCATGTTTCGTGCTTGCATGATCTATCCGTGAGGGTCCTAGTGGCATGGCTGTCTTTCTGCGCGGGCCGCATTGGTCTTTCCTGAAACAGGCTTCAATAGGTCCCCTCGTCATTCCGACGAGTCCTGTGCCGTGAGGCTGCTCCACCTCACTCCTTGTTCCTGTCGTCATGCTCGTCCGTCCGGTCTCCTGCCCCGAGCGAAGGCTCTTCTTGGTCCACCATGCCGGATGTCAGCGGCAACGGGCTGGCTTCGGCTCGGAGCTCCGTCGGCACGTCTTCGCATGGCTTCGTGTCATGCGCTTGCTCCAAAGTTCTTTTCTGCGCCCCCGACCGACGCGCTTTGCCAGTTGGTCCGGTGCGAAACACCGCCCACGGCGATGTGGCTGGCAGCCGATAGTAGTCGATGCTTGGCTCGAGCTGCGTCACATCTTGCAGAGTCAGGGCGTACGTTTTCTTGTAGTTGGGCATTTCTCCCAAGTGCCTATGCTGCGCTCTTGTGGCTTGGAAGTCTGCCTCCGTGATGATGCTGCAGTTGACGATGTTGGCCGCTCCGTGAATTTGGCCATTGCAGCCCAGCCAAGTTCTCCCCAACGCAGCCGGTGCGCCGCGGATCTCCAGAGTCTTTAAACGGTTCATGACGAGCTGCAACCAAGCTTCCTTCATGACCATGATTCTGTCTCCCTCCTCTGGCACAGGACCTTCGCGTCGAGAGCACATAGCGCCGTTGCCTGGCAGGTCGCTGGTCCTCTCTCCTGCTTCGCATACCTTGCATCCAAGTTGGTGTGTTGGACCCCGGTTCTCTGATGTGAGCCCTGGTTCCCTGGTACCGTTTCGTGTGAGTGTTTGCCTGCTGTCTACACCAGAATCGGGCCGACCTAACGTCTGCAGCGAGTCCTGACCGAGAGCGATCGATTATGTGTAGCCCGCTTGCCCGCCTGGACCTCGCGCCCGTCGTCGGCTGGGCCCGATGGTGTGTCTCTTGGGCACGTGTCGGGAACCGTGGCTTCCGCGACCTCATCCTGGCGCCGAGGATCTGAGCTTGCTGTTAACAGGAAACGTTCGTCTAAGATCCCCGTCCTGGTTCACGACAGTCGGCAACGGGATCTCCTCCGCGCTGTGTGCTGCTCTCTTGAATGCGTTGGCGAGGCTGTTGGCGGCGCTCGGAGAAGGGGTCGAGCCGTTGGCGGTATGCATGCTGTCGGCACCACGGCAGTTGGGCTGGAGGGCTGGGGTCTTGTTACCTTGGCTCGAGGTCTCGGGATGCTGCGCGCACTGAGTATTCATTGGTCACGACTTCACCCTGCAACCCCTTTCGGGCAACGTCATGATCCACGCCGCCATGTTTTCTTTTTGCTGTTGGTCGCGGACTGGTCTCTCTTCCGTCTGCCGAAGGGCGGGCTCTGTGCAGTGCGCCGCGCCGCACGTCGCAAGGAAGGTCTGTACAGGGAGCCTGAGCGAGGATCTTCAGGAGCTCGTTTCTCCGAGCTCCACCGAGGGTAGGCTGCAAATCCAGGACACCATCTCGTCGTTAGGGGCCTGGGTGGAGTCGATGAGGTACACGGGCACGTGGAGCAGGATCTGCTCGAAAACCGACTTCAGTTTGTCCCTGCTTTGATCGTCGTTCTGCACTTCCAGAAAGCGCACGTAGTCGCGATTGCCGTCCGGTTGTGCTATGTGTCCACCGGAGATGTTGGCCGCATCGAAGAGTTCGCGGTACGGGTAAATGCCTCCGAAAATGCTGACTGTGTAGATGGCCTTCGCGTTGTCGTCGGCCTCGATGTCCATGTTCGTCTCCTCTGCCTGTCCCGAATCCTGGCTGTTGGTCGTTTTGGCCGCAGACTGACGAAGCTCGACTTGGCACAAAACGTGGCGGCGTCCTCTTGGAGGCAGCGCTGTGAAGGCTTTCGGGCCGTGTAGCGGACAGTGACTCGACTTCCAGGGATGAGGCACCGTGTCCACCGCGCCGTCTGGACTTGCGATGTGTAGGGGGGGCAGTTGCAGCAAGTGTCCCTTGGTGACCTTGTGGCTCAGCACGAGTTGGACGAAGTCCAATGCAGCTGAGACCGAAGTTGAGTATAGAACGACTTGCCAAGCTTCCAGCCCTGTCCCGTCCGGGTCCAGCGAACCATTCTGGGGCGGTGCCCCGTTCAGGAGTCGCACCTGGAGGATCGACTCCAGTTGTTGCAGATCCCGGACGTTGGGATTGGGATGTTTCTGCACCGCTTCTCTGGCAACTGCCAGCACCTGGTACCCGAAAGAATTCCGTCCGGTGTGACAGATCTGGAGCTGCCACAGGGGAGTGTCTCGATCCGCACCTTCGAACACGGTGAAGGCGCTCCCCCACCTTCTTACTACTGCCGTCAGCTCGTTGCCTTCTGCGTCGCCGGTGCCGTTGCTCCGGGACGGTGTGATGTCGATCGCGGAGAAGCGCCTTTTCTTCTGCAGCTGCAAGTCCTGAGAGAGAGCCATGGCTGTTGGTATTGCACGGGGCTTCGCGGCTGCGGCTGGCTAGGGCTGGTGCCGTAGCACAGTTGCTGATCTTAGCACTGCGGTCGGTTGTGTGCAGATGATCTGACATGCGTTTGTTGTGTATGCATCCTCACAGCTCGTCGGGCTGTGGATTTCTTAGTCTTAGTCCACGCGACACGACAGTGGCCGTGCACCACCTTTTCTTCTAGCCACCGCTGTCGCGCTGGTATGCGCTGCTTCAGATGGCTATGGCACGTCGGACTCGAATTGTCTCACAGTGGTAGTCGCGAAACTGCAGGATGATGTCGTGACCCTTCTTCTTGGGGTGCGTGCCGACGTAGGTGCCGTCCTTACCTACGCTGCGCTTGGGGGTGTGGGGGGGGGGGGTGGGAAGAGGATGTCGAACTTGTCGCTCATGGACATGTGCTGTTGGGGTGCAGCCAAGACTCCGTACAGATACAACTGGGTGTTTATGTATCCCGGTCCCATTATGTTGAATCGTGGCGTGATCCTGGTGAAGGAGCCGACGCGCTTGAGATACCAACCTCCATGGGCATTGGTGCTCGTGCCGTAGCGGGTCGTAAAGATACAGTAGGGCGATGCTCTCGCTTGCCTGGGCACCGAGTGCCACTACTGTTTACTTCTTTCTATGTATTCGCACGTGGGTGTACAGGGATGTATACGTTACACTGGGCTGTGAGCGGGGTCCGTTTCAGAGCTACGATGCTGTTGTGCGGCCCTGGGGCTGCTCGTCGCTGACCGCAATGCAGAGACAGAGGGTCAGCCGTTCCCCGTGGCGCGCAATCCTTCCGCTTGGCCGGATGTGCTTGTACTCGTAAGCCCAGAACATCATTGTGATGGCGATCGTCATATCGGGTCTACGTGAACTGTCAGGGGCTTCTCTTGATCAGACGGCTCACGGGGTGTATCGGGACGATGGTTGGATTGAGATAGAAGGGCCTCAGAGTAGGTGAAACCTGGAGCTCTTCGGGGTCCAGAGGACGTGAAATCTGGAACTCTGGAAAAGGCTCAGAACAGGTGAAACCTAGAGCTCTTGACGGAGTAGGTGAAGCTTGAAACTATTGAGGAGGCCCAAAGTACGTGAAATCGGGGTAGGGATTTTTCGTTATCGGGCGGGGCTGCTAGCGGGCTGCCTAGAAGTAACACCTCGTGTGGGAGAAACATGTCGGGAGAGCAAATCTGTTCGGCTATCTTTGTCAGAAAGCGACACCGGATGCTGCACGCTTTTTTGTCTCGCATCCACTGGCACGCTGCGAAGCTAAGACTTGGACTACTGTACAGGTGAAACGGAAGGCTTGGAGTCTGAGGTCTCTAACCCACGGCACGGAAGGCCCGGAACCTGGAGTATGTGGCCCGAAGCAGAAAGT